AAAAAAAAAAAAAAACAGTCGTTTATGTGTAAACAAAAATTTTACTCCAAGAAGTGGTATTTAGAAACCATTCAGAAATCCTAACCATAGATTTTGTTGTTGTTGGCTGTTGTTTATTGATATCATTGCCATTAGCTATCGGTGGGTCATCATTTTTTAGATAAGCATTTACTTGTGTAGCCATTTTCGGAAAAGAGTTTATAAATAAAAGTAGACGTTAAAGAATAGAATCGAAAATCGATGTAAATTATGCTGTACACTAATTGTACACTGCAATCAGTCTTCGTTTATTGGGCTATCAAATTCAACAGATTATCAAATTTAAAATTACAGAACATATTTTGTGCTCTCTAATTGTGCCAGAAACATAACAATGCAACCAACCTGTATCACAACTTACAAATATGAAACTGTTATTTTATAGCAAAAAAAAAAAAAAATGAAGATAAAAGAAAGATATATGATACATTTGATGCGTGACAACATAAGATAAACCTAAATAAGTTTCTGTTTTAATGACAACAATCTGTGACAAAAAAAAACTGACTTTCTTAACAGTTTTAAATCGTCTTAAATAATTCATAAAATAAAATGTGTACACATACAGATATACCAAAAATACTGATCAGCGTTATAACACCAAAAATAAGTAAATAAAGAAAAGTTTGAACGCTATTTGGCCTGTCGATTTTTGCTTTAAAATTTGAAAAAAATTTACTACACCTTAGAAAACTTAAATATGTGTATACTAAAAAAAAACCTGTAAAAATTATTGTTAAAGCAAAAAAAGATAAAATTTGATGTTCCTGAATGTTTTATAAAACAATTGAAACCTTCAAAGTTACCTTGACAACAGGTTTTTTCTTTTTTTTAAATAAAACTCTTCTCCGTTCTTTCCTCCTCTATCGCTTCCGCAGTTTTGATGCTATAAACAAATAAATACTCAAATTTGCACCAGTTTTGCCTAATTAATTTTTACTTCCCTTTAACTGATTGAGACCTATCAAATATAAGGTATCAATTATCCTTTTTTATTTGTCAACACTATACAATAAACAATAATTTATTATTGTTATTATCATCTATTTGATTGAGACAAATTTTATCAGCATGTATCGACATTTAATTTTTTTAGTTTATCTGCTTAGCACTAAAATATCAATGTACCCTAAAACAAAAAACCTCTGAAGTGCTTTGTCAGAAAGAAATAGCACGGAAAGGTAAAAAAATGAAGAATTCTATAACTATCAGCATTCCAAATGATACTCATTGAGTAAACCTTATTATCGACGTTAAAATAAACCGCATTAGTTGCAATAAACAGATTCTGTAGCTAAGATAAAAGTGCATCTGACTTATTTTTTTATTATAGCTCTGCGTTACTTGATGATATATAATTTCTATTCTTGTAGCAAATAACTGGAATACATCTGATGGCTTCTGAAGACGATCAATCACTAAATTGACAATTATTTTTGAAAAAGATATCAACAGCAGTTACGCTCTAATTGCTGTAATTTCTGCAGCTTACAGTGATTGAACTATATTATGCAAATGCGACACAAATTTATCGATAAATTTGTTGTTGTAATTTATCTCTACAATTTGTCTATTTTTTACCTTATACATATATATTTGTTGTACTTAATGATTCAACAAGAAAAAAGAAATTTTTTTAAAGTTTTAAATAATTACTGCTTCTAAAACTTATTGGCACGCAGAAAAAAACATTTGCATTTCATTGCATCATAAAAATTTGGAATAAAATGATTTACCTAAACTTTTTTGTTTAATTTGGTTTTGGTCTTCATAATAGACAACCAATCAAATAAATATATCAAAAAAAGGTGAGAAAAACCCTAACAGTTAATAATTCAACAGCTAAAATCTATTCTGAAAGTTTTTTCAGTAAATTAGCCAACTAGTTGGCAAGAATTCAGGTCAACTTAGGCATAAATCTTTTCATTGTTGTATTCATATCGCACTGCTTACTAAACAATATTTGGTTTTTTTTCATTTATTTTTTCACTTTCTTGCTCTGTTCTTAGCTACAAACTAATTATGAGATCGTCGTATAAATCCATAATAACTTTTTTAAATTCAGCCACTGTTGTAACGTTACTCAGCATTATTTGGCTAATATTTCAGCTATATTCTAAAAACCGGTTACATTTGAAAATGATATATTAGGCTTGTAAAACTAGTTTCGTCTACCCTATTTTCTCTGTTATTCCTTTCTCTTTTTTTTCTTAACGTTATAAGCATCAACTTCAATAAAATGTATAGTCGATATTGTAGGAAAAAAAATAGTTATCTTACATAGACAAATTTTTTTTTGCTGATGAACATTTGTCATTTGTCACTGACAACACTCTATTTCGTACCAATAATTCAAACAGAAATAATCTGATCAAAGCAGAATAATCTAAACAATTTTTCTGCCATATTTCATTATAAGTTTGTCAATAAGCAAAAAAAAAGGGGCGAAACGTTAACTGCAACAAATTGCGCAGCTAATTTGTTAGAGCCTTATTGAACGAATTCTATTTACACGAATTGTATCGAATTATACCGATATTTTTTGCATAACCAACATCACAACAACAAATTCACATTATATCAACCATGAGAAACATCAACATCGAATTTGGTGGATATGATAGTTTCTGTTACATCAGTCGTTTTTGAGTAACCATCTTCATATTTCTGTACATCACTTTGCTTACACTTGTAGCTGTCATAATTTTTTTTTGTTTTGACGACTTTGCCTTTATACTTACAGGGAAATCTGTTTAAACTTTTGACACTTGTATCCAAATACTTCGGCAGCCTTGCAAGTCACGCTGTTTGATGGTTCAGTGCTACTGCTGACTTCACTTTGCTGAAACAGTCAAACGAACGCATCCATATCAAGTGTTCAATAATCGCAAATCCTCCTCTCCTCCTCCCCCAAAGAAAAAAAAAGTTTTAATTTCCTCCTGCTGTACTTCTATATCAGTGCAATTAAGAAAATTTTTACATTTACTTTCTAAACCGCCCAACAGCCTCAGTTTATTACAAGCTTTGTTGTTCTCTTTTTTCCATGATACCGTCAGTAGAAAATCCTCTTGATTGTTACGCTCTTTCATCAAAGAGATGAAATATTCAACATCAGATATTGTGTCGACATTTTAAAACACTTTAGCCTAAACAAATGCTAGCAAAAAAATCATTTTCAGATCAATTTATGTCGTTGAGTTGAAAATTGGAATTTAAATTTATTTCCCCGCCTATTCTCCCTTTGAACTTGACTAAAAATGCCGTTGAAGTGGAGAAAAAACTGTGAAAAAACAGGCCAAGGGAATGGTACGTCCGCTCTGAAAAAGTTGCTCTTTTTCCACTGATCTCCATCAAAAAAAAAATTAGAGAATTTAGACAGTTAACAGGAAAAAAAAGCCCCAAATTTACAAAGTCAATAATATAATTGTTAGCGAGTCTTTATTTTTTTCCTCTGCAATTTTCTCATTGAAAAGTGGTTATATATCGGATTTTAATAACTAGACGAGACAGCTGAAAA